ATTATTATTATTATTTATTATTATTTTTTATTATTATTTTTTGGAGAATTTATATTTCATTATTTTACTTATATTTTTATTGTCACGTATTTTTTGTTCAATTTTTGTCGATTATTTGATGCATGTGATGAAGAATCATTCACATTTAATACATATAGTAACCATAAAGAAAAGACTGATTTTTTATGTTGATGTAATTAACATTATTTACAAAATGTTAAAAATACTATTTTTCCTTTATATGTATGTTATACAAAAATATAAAATAAACATAATGAACACTAATTATAATTTGATTTTTTAATAAATTGTTTTAACTAATTGTAATTCTTCAAATTTGTTATCCATATAAAAAGTATTATATACGATTATATATGATTATACAAAATTATTCATTATATATGAACATATATGATTATATGTAATTATATGTACAATCCCAGGCAGCAAGTTGTCGTTATTTTGACGTCAATATATCGTTATTATTTGTCAGTAACGTCATTTGTTCTTTAAGGACGTGTATTTAACATCATGTTTTAAGATAACACATCGGTCAATAAGTCCCCGGTCTAGCAAAGAAAACACAAGAGTTACATCAAAATTCGAATTTATTCATCAATATAGTTTCCTTCTAAGGCAATACAATCAGTCCAACGCCTTTCCAAACGTTCGATGCCGGTTTTGTAGAACGATTTTGGCTGACCCTCAAAATACGCATCAGTTTCGGCGATGACCTCCTCATCCGATCGAAATTTTTTCCCGGCGAGCATTTTTTTGAGCTCAGCGAATAGGAAATAGTCGCTGGGGGCCAAATCTGGCGAATACGGTGGGTGCGGGAGCAGCTCGAAGCCCAACTCGTTCAATTTAACCATCGTTGCCATCGACTTGTGACACGGTGCATTGTCCTGGTGAAAAATGGGTTTTTTCTTCTTCATTTGAGGTCGTTTTGCGACGATTTCGGCCTTCAAACGCGTCAGTAGTGCCATGTAATATTCGCTATTGATGCGCCCACCCTTTTCGAGGTAGTCAACGAAAAGAATACCATGGGCATCCCAAAATACAGATGCCATAACCTTGCCGGCCGACGTTTGAGTTTTTGGTCGCTTTGGGCGGCTTTCACCGGCTGCAGTCCACTCAGCTGACTGCCGATTCGACTCGGGTGTGAAGTGGTGAATCCATGTTTCATCCATGGTCACATACCGACGCAAAAAATCTTTCCGATCCTTCTGAAACATGGCCAAACAGCTCTCGGAATCATCGACGCGTTGTTGTTTTTGGTCCACAGTGAGCAAACGCGGCACCCACTTCGAACATAGCTTCCGCATCGACAAATGGTCGTGTAAAATGGTGAAAACACTTCCCTTGGATATCTTTACGATGTCAGCAATATCATCCAGCTTCAACTTACGGTCGGACAAAACCAATTTATGGACCTGCTTGATTTTTTCGGGAACAACTGCCTCATTTGGGCGACCAGAGCGGTGTGCATCGTCGGTGTCCGTACGGCCGCGTTTAAAATCAGCATACCAGTCGATGATTGTTGATTTGCCTGGGGCAGAGGTGCCATAATGTTTGTCCAACCACTGTTTTGCTTCAACGGTATTTTTTCCCATCAAAAAGCAGTGTTTAATGAGCACACGAAATTCTTTTTTTTCCATTGTTCTGAAAATAACAAAAGTAGCGTCACTAAAGCTTCACTAACTCACACAATAATGATCCTAATGACATAAACATTTCACAGTATGCCTAAAAGGGTCTGTTCTTTCGAACCAAGCTGCACTTTTTGTGTTAGAGGCGCTCTCTATATGTCAGACCGGGGACTTATTGACCGATGTGTTATCAAAATGATATTATGGTAACGTTTAATTTATCATATTATAGACGAATTTCTTTTTCGAATAAAAAGATAAGTTTGTTATTCTTACAGATATATATTTATATAATAATAACGTTGCAACATTGCATATTGTAGAGACATTGCAGTGATATTAATTTAAAATATTACTTTAGCAATATTATAGCAATATTTAAAAAATATTACGAATATAATACAATATTTTTACTTATTTACTAGTTATTTCTGTTACCCAATAACCAAACAATATTTAAAAAATATTTTAAAAACACTTAAAAAGATATTTTTAAAACGTCAAAAATAATGAGATAAGTTCTGCTTTTTCATTAAAATAACGTTTTTTAACGTTTGGAAGAATGTTTTGTTTTTTAATATTTAATAAACATGTATTTTAACATTTAAAAACTTTTTTTAAATGTTAACATTTAATATTTAAAAAATGTTAAAATAAACGTTCATTAAATATTAAAAGTAACATTTTTCCAAACGTTAAAAAATTAAAAAACGTTAAAAAATTTCTGTTTAATGAAAAAAAGAGAACTTATCCCATTATTTTTAACTTCTTAAAAATGTTTCTTCATTAAAAATTTTTTTGAAATTGTAATGTTTTATAATGTCAACAACTAGGTAAACATATTTTACATAAATATTTTATGCAAGTATTTCTAACTTTATTTTTATGAAATATTAGAAATATAGTTTATTTTTGTGGTACTAAATAATATTATAAGAAAATTATAATTAGTGCTTCGGTTGCATATGGGGATAATAAAATATACTTAGTATCAGTTGAGGAAATAGCGCAGAAGCTAAGGTGATAGACGAGGAATCTGGAGGTGTATAAGGTCTCGAGTTCACGTCCGACCAGTACTGAATAAATTTTCAGGTGCGAAAGTAGTGAGAAATCAAAACAGCTAAATTATGTTTAAAATCAACATAAGCTGACTAGTTGCAAGCGTTCTGCAAAATATATTTTTTTAAACCAGTGTCATATGTCATTGTTATTTTATATAAAAAATGATGTCATTAAGTCATACATATCACGTCATTGGTCTGTAACTTAGGACTGTCAAAAAGACGTCATTATTTGGTTAACTTGAAGGATAAATGACATAACATATGACGTAAAATTCATGTCATTATCATGGCTGTCTGCTACCTGGGACCTCATCATATATGTTTATATATAATTATATATGATCATATAGAGACAAAATTCATATATAATTGGATTATATGCAATTATACATAATATATAATTATATATAATCTTTTTTTCCCGGGTAATGCATCAAATGAAATTCGTATAAATAATGTATTGTATTGTATATACGATTTTTTAATTCGCCGGTGAAATACGTGTATTCAAGCTCAAAGAACACATTTTGAACATTTATAAAACTGAAATGTAAATAAATGATGCATCTTCTACTTTATTTTGATATCTCTAAAGTCACTTCCTATTTTACTATGATGACAGCAAAATTTGACAATTCCTGTAAGTATGTAAGTATTGATATATAAGATATATTTTCATTTTTTATTTAGAATGACCTTTCTGATAATCTGTCAAAGTTTATTATATTCGTTTTGAATTACCTTATATACTCGTATCGTATGTTTATATATATTATGTATATATTAGTAAGGTGTCCGCTGTATCGGGAGACGCTCGCCGTGCTTTGGACATATGTCGTCGAGCAGCAGAAATTACTGAAATACGTGAGGGATCTACAGTGAGTATGGAGGATGTAAATCAAGCTTTGTCAGAAATGATGGCAAACCCAAAAATTCGAGCTATAAAACATTGCTCAAAAATGGAGCAAGTATTTTTACAAGCTGTATGCGCAGAGGTCACACGAACCGGTGTCGAAGAAGTTTGTTTCAAGAACGTCTACAAACAATTTGAATCTCTATGTTGTTTTGATGGTTTGTATAATAATTATACGAGTATAATAATACGAGTATAATATGAAAATAGCTTGTTTTATCTCATAATTCTTTTTGTAGGTTTCCAAACACCTAATGTCACCGAGACTCTTGGTATATGCGACAGATTAGGTAGTAGCAGATTGTTAATATGCGAAGATACGTCAAATGATATATATCAAAGAATGCTCTTAAATGTGTCAAAGGATGATATACATTACGCGTTATAGTAAAGTTTTGATTAACGATATATACAATACCAAGGCCTAGATAAATGTTTCTAATTTAACTACCTAAAATATGAATGTACGTGTGTGTGGTTTTAATAATTATAACGATAATATATTATACAAGTTTCATAAATTCTGATTGCATTATTTTGTTTACAATTTTATAATGATAAAATACAATAAAGTACAAATTTTTATAGTAACATGCGACTTGTTATATAAGTTTAAATATTTCATTAATGTACAGTATGTTTAACATAATTCGTACATTTGCTCATTTACAAGTAGAATAAAAATAAACGCAAAGTTCTCTACATTGATATATTTTTCTTATTTGCAATCAACCACATGAATTTTTAAGTTATTAATTAAAGAAAATTAATTAATGATCGCGGATTCGATACGATACAGGATATGACAATACGATATTCTATTGTACTTCGATCAAACAGAATAAAAATGTTCGTTACCATTTTATAAATAACCACTTAGATTTTTTAATTATTAATTAAAAAAAATTAGGGAGTGATCGCGCACGATCGTTCTCTATTTTTCTTTAATTTGTAACTTTCGTGTTCAGTTTGACGAGTTTTATCTGCACACAAATAGACGTACGAGTTATATCAGATATGCTGTATGTTGTCTTATTAGAATTTCTAACAAGCGAATGTGCCAGGAAATATATCTATGGAGCTGAAATCTATAGCGCGATGAGCCAATCTATAATTGGAAAAATTACACAACTCAAGTTCATAGATTAAACCTTTCCTCGTTCGTTCATAAATAGTCTACTTAAGTAACAGACTATATTCTGTATCTTATGCTCATTCGAGTAATGTATGTATGCTTTATCTTATAAATTGTATCAAACTTAAATCAAGTGATTATTTGTGATCTATTAAAAAATTTTGAAAGATGAGTGATAACAATATCGACGAAAATATTATTTCATTATATAATACTCAAAAATGGGAAGAGATTGCTGCTTTATCTTCCACAACTGATGATTTTAGAACTTGCAAATTATCATGGGTACTGCCTGACATAAGTGATTTGTATTGGATAAATGAAATTGTACAAAAGTATAAACTATCAAGAATTGCAAGTATTGGATGTGGTTGCGGATTATTGGAGTGGTTATTACAAAAATATTCAGGTAAATGTTTAAAACAAATAATGTGTATAGTGAGTAAAAATAAACATTGTTATACTTCTAATTGGATTATATTTTTAAGGTTTAGATATTTTGGGCATAGAATTGGATAGTTCCTGGTGGAATAGCAAGTATTCTCCCCCACGATTCTTGAAAAATATTATCTTCGTTGAAAATAAATCAATAAATTTTCAAGTGCCAAAGAAATATGCTATGTTATTTTGCTATTTTAATAACAGTGCAGCATTCCATGATTATATGAAAAATTACAAAGGCAATTTAGTTCTAGTTATTGGACCTGAAGGAAATAATTGCATAACTGATCCATTACCATTTGATACAAAATTTGAGAAATATAATTGGAAGTTAATAAATGAGAGGAAATTTATGTATTCCAATAATTACATTACTGCATACAGTAAATAATATATATGACATATTCTAAATAACAAATCTAGAATAATATATCATTTTATGTAATTGAAAAATGTTTTTTAAGTAAACCCTAAATTTATTCTCTCTCTCTCTCTCTCTCTCTCTCTCTCTCTCTCTCTCTCTCTCTCTC